AATAGCTGTTGATGCAATATATGAGAGCAAGGAAGTGCTGGATTACCACTTAAAAATGTTGGCTATTAGCAACTATTTTCAATATAGAACGAGGAAATCCACAAAGAAAGTTTTACATGTTGTATGTGTAGATAGTAGCAGCTGCAAGTGGGCTGTCAGAGCTGTTAAAATGCCACGCGGTGAAATGTTTCAGATTCGCAGTTAGCGTTTCTACTCATTATGTTGCTAAGTGTTCTTAGACTTTTCACCCCTTTTGTTGTCGAAAGATTTTTGTGTTAGTGGTGTTTATACTGTTATACGACATTTTTATTTATGTGTTTTTAGTATTTACACTTCAATCCCAGGTATGACTTTGAACATCAATGTCCTGTTGATGTTAGACAGGGTAAGACTCGCCAGGCTACTTCTTCAGTTGTTGCTAAGCTTATCAAACATCAGTTCAATGATGTGACGCAGAAGCCGTATCCTCCTAAGTCCATAATATCAGACATGCGTAGGGACCATGGAATTTTTATGAATTATAAGAAAGCATGGTTTGCGAAAGAAAAGGCTTTGAAATTAAGTTTTGGATCAAATGAAGAGTCATATGCAATGCTGCCATCTATGTGTTATATGCTAAAAAATTCAAATCCAGGTTCCACCATTGAGCTTAACACCTTTGATAATGGGTTCTTTAAGTATTTCTTCATGTCTCTATGTGCTTGGAAAGATGGATGGGCTCACTGCATTCCAGTTTTGATTATTGATGGGTCATTCATGAAGTCATACTATAAAGGCACGCTTCTAACCGCTGTTGCATAGGATGGGAACAAACAAATATTCCCACTGGCCTTTGCCATTTGTGATGCTGAAGACACTGCAAATTGGAGGTGGTTTTTAAAAAAGGTTAAAGAGGTCCTTGTAGCTCAAGAAGTGAAGTATATTGTGTCTGACCGCCATGATGGCATTATAAGTGCTGTGCAATCTATTTTCCCAAACGTTATGCATGGACATTGTATATATCACATTCTTGGTAACATTAAGACGTCATTCCGTGGCTCTGCAAAAGCTGTTACATGGAAGTTTATTCGTGCTGCAAAGGCTGCAACTGTTCGTGCACGGAATTGGTATATGAAATTGTTAGATGAGGAGGATCCAGCCATTCAGCCATATCTAGCACGCATTGGATTTTCGAAGTGGTCTCGGGCAGAATCAGCAAACAATCGATACTCAATCATGACATCAAACAACGCTGAGTCAATGAACAGTGTTGATGCTTCAGCCCGCGAGTATCCCATTGCACAACTTATTGATTTCATAATTGTGAGGATGCAAAAATGGTTCCATGAACGGAGAACCTTGGCAAATTCTACGTCATCTATTCTGACAAGGCATTATGAAGCAAAGTTGAATGAGCTACACGCTTCGTCTGCAGTCATGAGTGTACGTCTCACAAGGCATTATATTCTACTGCCACAATGCATTTTCTTATGACTATATGTTTTTCATACTTTGACTATCAAGATTTTTTTTTTCAGGTTCGCCCATCGTGTGAGTATGAGTTCCAGGTTTTGGACACCAATGGAAGGGCTTTTGTAGTTAATCTTTGGTCCAGGACTTGTACTTGTTGTGAGTTCCAGATCGATCACTTCGTATGTGTTCATGCTGTTGCAGCTATTCGTACACGCCCAAGTGTTTCATGCTATGAGTTTATATCAAAATACTACACTACTTCTGAGTGGATTGCAGCATATGAAGGCATTATACACCCATTGGCTAATAGAGACAGTTGGGTTGTTCCAGACGTTGTGTCGGGTATTTTGTGTAGACCTCCCTCATGTTCTAAACGCCCACCTGGAAGACCCAAGAAGCGGCGAATTTCATCCAGGGGTGAGACTACGAGCAGGCAATGTTGCTCCCAGTGTACAATGCCTGGACATAATAAAAAAACCTGCACCAACCCCCTTTCTATCCGTCGCACATAAGTCTTTATGCAAGAGTACCTTTTTTTGGAATGGAGCTTATGTTTCTTTCTAATTCATGAACATTTCAAGTCCTTTTGTATTGTCTTTTTGAAATTGATTCTAATATCATGTCATTTCACTCTTTTCTTTAGCTCGGTTGTTTTTACTTTTCATTTGTGTTGAATGCCATGATATTCATGTGTTTGTAGAATGGGTCATTCTGTTTTCCTGTAAATTCTGTTAGATAATAGCAAATATAAAAATATAACCAAAGTCCTAAAGTATTTTCAATGATACCCCCCTCCCCCTCCTTCTCCTGCCTTTGCTTTTTAGCCCGGGTTTGAGTGCTGTCCTCAAGAACATGACGCTGTAGGGATTGCCATTCTTTGATAAAAGTATTTCATTAGTATCCGCCAAAGAGAGATTTAAAGAGATTCCATGTGTTTAAAAGATTTTGTTTGCTCGTGCCAGCATTACAACGCTAGATTCTCTTGACATTGAATGGTTTGAGTGTGTCATTGATAAAAGTTATTTGTTGGAAGAAGTGATTCTGTCATTGATAAAAGTTTACTCACGTGTTTAAAGGTTACTTGTTTACTCCCCTTTTAAAAAAAGTTTCATCAAATACTGTGCCCCAATTTTATCCAAAAAAGTAATGTGATTACTTCAATCACCAACCATATTACAAGATTCTGTCTAAAAAGCATTGATAGTGCACTTACAACCCATATTACTAATAATAGGAAAAGTACTGATACTGCACTTAAAACCCATAGTGCAACTACTACAACAGCATACTTAAACATAAAAGTTTTTTAAACTTGGTTACATATCCCANTTTGTGGTGGTTCAGTGGGAATATCAGCGAGGACTTGTGGTTGTTCAGTGGGATCATCATTTAGGAGATGTGGTTGTTCAGTGGGAAACAAATAACTGATGATACTCTCTGCGACCTTTGGTTGTTCAGAGTAAGGACTAATGTCCCAAATGGCTGGATCCAATTCCTCTGCTGCCTGTACAAATCAAATGTAATGCAACAATTAGTCATTGGAAATAAACAAAATGACATTCTACCAACTGAAAAATGTTCCATATCAACTAGACTAAATATACCCGAGCAGCTTGTGATGCTGTTTCCACATTGTCAATGACACTCTCCATTTTCTGGCCTTCCTCCAAACCATCTTCCATCACCTATAGCATAATTTATCTCTTAGTATGTAATTTCAACTCTAATTGCAACCATTTTATTCAGATTTGCATCGAGAGAAGGTGAGCCTGGATTGTTTAATGCCCTGATTTCTTCTCGTTTCCCTAGATTTCTTCTCGCTCGAGTAAATGTCTCTCGATTTTCGGAAATTGCGGCTTACGCGTTTCTCCAAATCCAGCGGCCAGGGTTATTTTAGTCATTCTAGTCATTAAAAAAAGGTTTCCAGTAGTACTGGTCCTACTTTTGGAAATTAGCATTGTTTTAGTACCATATTTGGAATTTTCCCTAATTTTTTACGGAGTATTTTCTTTTTTTGGAAGGCTATTTGGGCTTAGTTTTTTTTTCTCTCCTTTGTATCATTTTCAAGTTTCAACTATACATTTTTACTTTTATTAAACTTCATGAAAAGTCAAATTAGAAGTATTAATTTGAGACAGAGGGGTACAAATTTTCGTGAAATCTTTAAGTTCATACTCATATTTCATGTACTTCACTATATGGACAACATAAAAGCTTAATTTCTAGAAATTATTTTCTTAACACTATGTTTGGTTCAAGGAATTTGAGAGGGAAAGGAAAAGAAAATGAGAAGAAAAATATTTTTTTTGTTTGGTTAGAGAGGAAAAAAAAATGAGAAGGAAAAGAAAGTGAGGAGGAAAAATGTACTAAGAGGAGGGAAAACCAAATTCCTCTCATTTTGGTAAGGAAACTGAGGAAAAACTATTTTCTTTTCTTTTCCTTCCAGATTCTTTGAACCAAACATAGTGTAAAAGTTTGTCATTAAATTTCTTTATTAAATGGAGTATATGTTCTTTAGCTTTGATTAATGTTAATGAAATTTATTTTAAATACCTATTTTTGAAGTCGTAGATCACTCAACACTATTTGGAATTGAGTATTTTGCAGCTAGGAATGAGAAACATTTTTTTATAAAAAGAACTATTTAGGTTCCCAAGGTTGTTGCCAATCAGATCAGACAACACATGCTGATTTATTTTGGAGATAGATGTTTGTAGTTGTTTTGGTTCTCAGAGCATTGGAAATACCCGCGCCACATCAGCTCCGGGGCTTCAAATCTTCTCTCTCTGCCACATCAACTTTAATTTACCTCACAGTTTTAGTGGAAATGGGTTTGAAACATCGGGGCTTCAAGCTGGGACTTCAAACCTTCATTTTTTTACATTTTAAATCTACATCTTTTCACTGTTTGATTGTTGTCATGGATCAAGAAATTTTTTATCCCATAGACACCACCTTCCACAATTTGTGCTTTGTAACGGTTATTGTATGGTTTTTTGATTTTACAATGAATCCGAGGTCCCTATCATCAACAAAGCAAGATAATATGTTTAAAGAATAGATTGTGCGTTTATTTTAATGCAATATCCAAATTAAAAAAAATTAATAATATGTTTGAGTTCCACACCAAGAAAATGTTTTTAAGAATTTATTCCTCCACCGTTATTTATTTGTTTCATGAGCAAAAATCGAAGGCCTTAAAAAATAACTGGAATCATTGGTATTTTTTAGACAAAGATCACATACCTCATCATCATCATGAAACACAACTTCCATTGATTCAACATTTCTGTAACGCCCCGAAACCCGGTCTATCAGAATTAAATAATTAAAAATAATTAATAAATTATTGAGACGAGCTCGGTGGAAATTGTAAATATTCTTCGTTTGACAAAAAGGTTTATACCGTTGTGTAGGGTTCGACGGATTGAATCTAAAGGTCAAATCGGAATTGGATTTGGAGCCCGTGGGCTTGGAAAGTGCCTTTGCGTCGGGTACGTTCAGTTAATACGGAGTCCAAAACCCTAAAAGTATAAATATAGGCTTTACACGCCTAAAGCCCTACACCTCCCATATTACGTAACCCTCTCTCTCGTACGTGTCTCACCCTCGCCGAATGGAACAGAGCAGAAGGACAAACACAACAGCAGAAGAAGAAGGAGAAAAGGAAGAATAAGAAGAAGAAAGAGGAAGGAGAAGGAAAGAGGAAGAGTTCGACGCTGTCGTTCGTTGGTACTATCTCGTAGCTTTTAATCGTCGAATACGAGGTGAGAACGTGGACATCTAACGTATGGTTATAGTAATAGGTTTGAATCTTACGTCCCTAGAAGTGTTACGGTTGATCTATTTGGAATATACGTGAAACATGCTTTGTTGTGTCGTTTACACTTCGAAAAAGCATGATTTGATTTAGAATTGTTAAGAGTTCGTTAGATAATGTTTGATTGATGATTTAGAACTTGTTTAAGTTTGTTTTCTCTGGAATTGATGTTGTTTGATGGGTTAAAATGGAGCTGATGCAAATATAGTGTTCGCCGTGACAGACATTAGGTAGGTACCGTTGACACTGTACCTGGCTACCACCAGCTACTCCGTTTTCACCTCGCTTTGTCGGTACCTGTCACAAAACGGTACCAGGTACCGGATGGGCGGTAGGCCCTATCGCCGGGTCAGTAGAGGCTACCGTGACAGCCTACCGGTGGGGTTACTCTAGCTGACACGGTCGGTACCCACGTACCGTGGGGACGGTACCCTGGTACCGAGGAGTCGGTAACCCCTACCGCCAAGGGTACCGTGAGGTACGTGAGCTGGTCTAAAATTTCTGTGTTGTGTCGATGATCGATTCCGAGACTTTGTGTGTTGCATGAGGTAAACATAGGTGTCAATACCCAGAGTTAGGCCGTTGTATGAGTATGTTGGATGTGATGAATGATGTTGTATGATGCAAGAGCATGTATGTTGTGAATTATTGATACTTAAAGGATGAAATACCTAGGATGAACTCTAGGAGCTGACCTGAATGAATTAGTGGCAAGTCATGCCATAAGTATAGTAAGTTAGAGACATGTGGTACCTGATGGGTCCAATTGTTGTTCGGGTAAAAACATGTACACGGGGATTTAAGAACTGTCATTCCGAAGTGGACACGGATCTCACCCACCTAACGAGGAACTCCCGAGTTTGTTTGAGCTTGAACTTCATTCCGAAAAGGAAGGTCATGACTCCCATAGGCAAGTCGTATACAGTTAAGCTTTAACCTCGCATAGGTTAAGAGCCGAGTACAGAAAGGAAGTAAAGTAAGCAAAGAAGAAAGTATCTGTTATTATATCTTGTATACTGTATCTCTTGTATGATGATATTACTGTTTATGTATGTTATATCCTGTATGATGTTATGATTATGTTGAGCATGATTGTGTGCATGATATCGTATGAGGATACGGGCTATTGGGATCATCTATGGGTATAGCTGTATGTTAGATATTTCTCACTTAGCTTCAATGCTTAGCGCGTAGCCCTTTTTCCTATTTGCTACACGTAGGTAATCCAGGAAATGATGAACTTGGAACCAATCCCGGAGGGCGATGAGGAGGCTGTGATGTGCGTGGCGTTGTTCGATGACTTTGAACTCTTATTTATTATTTAAATAACTTATTACTATTTCGGGCATGATTCCCAAGTTGTGTTTTGAATTATAAATTAAGCTTCCGCAACTGATTTGATTATTACTCCGATGGATATTTAATTATGTTTTGAAATGTTATTTAAATTGTTTTCAAAAGTTAAAGGGTGTTTGGATATCAATTTGGTAGCAACCCGATTCGCGGATCCGAGTATTTGGGTCATGTGGGTTGGGGTGTTACAATTTGGTATCAGAGCATATGGTTTTAATTTTTAAAACCGATCTTCGGATCACAAACAGATGGAGTCTAAAAGTTGTACCACATATCTTGCGACTCATCAGCCCCGAGAAGGTAATAAGTTTATAACTTTGATCGTTATGTGCTAATGACTTATTAAGGATTTATGTGTGTAATTTAGAATGAGTAACGCATCGACGCACGCTCATGACAACACCAAGCATCTGGGTGACGACCACAATGATAGGGTGCCGAGACGGAGGCATCTAGCTTCGTGCCTAAGCAAAACACTGCAGTGACACATCACCTTCAAAACTCTGAAGGATAATGGAGCGGAGGAGTTCCTTGGGGACTGAGTGGCTGAACCCCAAGTGGCTCTCGACTGGATTGATTAGGTGGCTAGGGTGCTCAATGATTTGAATGTGCTGGTTGCAGACCATCCTAAGTTGGCGTCTCAGCTGCTCCGCAAGGGAACGTACGAATGGTGGAAGCGTACCAACAGTGAGCCACAGACGCCGAAGCCATGGACGTGGGCCTACTTCGATTGGGCCTTCAAGAAGGAATACATCCAAGCCCGTTTTCAAGAGGAGAAACGGACAGAATTTATGGAGTTGCGACAAGGGACATGATCTGTAACGCCCCGAAACTCGGCTTGGTATTTTTAATTAATTTATATAATTAATTAATTACTAAGTCAGTCAAGATACGACTACCGAATAAGGTAATTGGGCTTTAATCTGTCCTCACGGGTTAAAAAGTGTAAACTGGATCCTAAATTCTATTTAATACTCCATCCGTCCCTTAAAGAAGATCCTCTTTCGTTTTTTCTTTGTCTCACAAAGATGTTATATTTTCTATTAAAAAATCACCTTTACTCCTTACTTTTTCATACCTAACCTATCACATCATACTTTATCCAACACATCTTACTTTTATACCTAATATCAAGGGTATTTTTGGAAAGTTAACACTATCCTTACCTTAATTCACAAAAAGTTGGAGTTTGAGGATCTCTCTTTTCCCGTTCGTTTTCAGCTGCGTCTCCACTGCTCGAGTTCCGCTCGTCGTTCCGCCAACCAGAGACAGCCGCCGTCGCCAAGCCGCCAGGACGCCGCTGTCGCCGACCGTCGTCGCATCGTTGTCCCCGTCGCGCAAGAGACCGGCGGTCCACCGGGGGGTTGCAGCGGCGAGTTCCCCCTCCCCCAATCCAGTTTCAATTCTTCAAATTCGAGGTGATTCGTTGTCCAAATATCTTCCGTTTGCGTTAATTCGTAGATTAGGATCTTGTTTGTATAATTCTTGCGTTTGATTGTGAGATTGTTGGTTGAATTGATTGGGGAATTGAATTTGGGGATTTGGGGCTGTTTTTCCGGCGACCCGCCGTTGGTTGGCCGGCGGTGGAAGCGACTGGCGTGCTGGGCAGACCGAGCGGGTCCAATTGGGACCCAATTGGTCTGAATTGGACCTCATTGGTTCAATTGGGTCAATTCGGGTCCAATTGGGTGGCTTCTTGTGCAATTGGGTTCGAATGGGTTTAATTGGGTCTGTCCGGGTTTCAATTGGGTCAATTTGAATGTAATTGGGTTGATTTGAGTTCAAATGGGTGCAATTGGATTGATTTGGGGTCAATTGGATGGATTTGGCCGGTTGGTGGTTCAGGGGCAACTGTCGGGCCGTTTGGGGCCGGTTTGGGCCGGCTGCCCGAGGCGGAAGTAGGGCTTCCGGGCGGTGGGCAGCCTCCGGGAGGGTTTCTTGGGAGAGTTTTATGACACCAAACGCCTGAACCCAACATATTTTGGGGTTAAATTGATGATTATGATGTCAAAATAAAGGATAAGAAATGATTTGAAGTTAGTATAAATGTGATTTATATTAATTGTAGTTTTTGCTTACCCAGCAAACATGTAATCAAAGAAGATATGATATAGAGCTTAGTTGTTGATCATTGGTTATTTTGAATTGCAACCTAAGTTGTTTCTATGCCCAACTGTGTTAGTCCTTTTCCCTACTGTCTTTTTTCCTCTTCTTCTTCATCAGTGGACGATCGAACTGCTTCTTAGTTAAGGAGAATGCTCATTGGGTTTTAGATCTCATATGATGAACACCATATCATTTCCATTCAAGGTATTATCTATGTATGTATGTATGTATGTATCTATGTATGTATGTATTTATGTATCTATGTATGTATGTATGTATGTATGTACACACACACACATATAGATATCAATTGTATTCTGAATTTTGAATATTCTTAGACTTATTTAATTGTTAACCATTTGATTTTCAAACAACTCATTTTGTGTGCTACAAACTTCATCATGCTACAGGCATCATTTTCCAATGTTTCAAACTTAAGAAGCCAAAACAAGAGTTATAGAAATAGAATTAAAATGGAGCTCTCCATCACACAACCTGATGATTGGCATCTTCATCTTCGTGATGGTCATCTTCTTGAAACAGTTGTCTCTCACAGGTCTATTTAGTAATAATTTCAAATATGAATGTTGCAAAATACTAATATACTACGTACTATGTTTCTCCTTCCTATCTGTAGAATGTAGTTTTACACCTTGATTTATATACTGTATTTGTTATAGTGCATCTAACTTTGGAAGGGCAATCATTATGCCGAATTTAAAACCTCCTATCACCACCACTGCTGCAGCTGTCGCATACCGGGATTCCATCTTAAATGCATTGGCTCCTAATTCTGGTTTTACTCCGCTTATGACACTATATTTAACCGATACAACAAGTCCGCTGGAAATCAAACAAGCCAGTACGTTTACCTGCATGGCGACATTACTAAAACTTGATTTGGTGTAGTATGGCTTCCCGGTTTTACAAAAAAATGTCTTTATACATCTACCATCTGTTCATGTGTTGACATGTTGCAGAAAATAGCGGAGTAGTATATGCTGTGAAGCTTTATCCTGCTGGTGCTACAACCAATTCTAAGGAAGGCGTTACTGATCTTTTTGGAAAATGCATGCCAGTTCTTGAGGAAATGGCTGAGCAAGAGATGCCTCTCCTGGTACAAGTCTTCATCATCAAGAATCTAATTTTGCTTTGGTTTTATGTAATGGTTCAGTAGACAATAGTATACCACAACTTCGTTGGAGAATTTGAAACTTGATAGCTTATTCAACTTGTAATCAGGCAGTTCCTCATTATTTGGGTATTGTTTGGAAATTGGAAAACATTATCAGGAGAAGTTATTTTCTTGTGTTTGGTTTTACCTCGTAGAGTGCACAGGAAGATGAAATATGATTCATGTCTATTGAAATCTAAATGTATCTTTAGATTTCCCGATCTTTATGTAATAGAAATAACTAAATAAAATGAGATTTATGTAAAAAAATTGAATAAAATGAGTTTGAACAAATGTAAAAATAAATTTATTGAGTTTGAACCAACGTTTTATTTCTCTCCGCCTTTCTTTTCCTTCCCAATTCCCCATATATTCTCCTCTTCATTTTCTTTCCATAGCAATATCCATGATCCAAACACTCTAAGCTATTAGATATGTTAACTGCAGGTCCATGGAGAGGTAACAAGCCCTGAAGTTGATGTATTTGATCGAGAAAAGGTTTTTGTTGAGACAGTTTTAGGGCCTTTAGTGCAGAGACTTCCACAGCTGAAGATTGTGATGGAGCATGTCACCACCTTGGATGCTGTGAAGTTTGTAGAATCTTGCCAAGAAGGTATGAACTATTATCATCACTGTATTTTCCTTTTTCAACCTAACTCTTCAGGTTCTTACTATCCATTGCTTAAGTTTGGCTCATTGTGTTTTTATTTACAGGATATGTCGCAGCGACGGTCACCCCACAACATCTTATTCTAAACAGGAATTCTCTGTTTCAAGGTGGGCTCCAGCCACACAATTACTGCCTTCCTATACTTAAACGAGAGATCCACAGTACGTCATCCAAATCAATTACAGTACTTGATTAAAATGCTTTGAGATCTATCTTTCTACTCTTTAAATGCATGGATCCTGGACAACAACAGGCAATGAAAACAATCCCCAGAATACATTTTCTTTCTTTTTTGTCAATTTTCTTCCATGGTTTTTCTTTCACCAGTGTTTTCCCCGGTTCCAAACGGACGCCGGACTTTCTCTTCAAAATGTCTTAAAATACAGGACAAGCTATTGTGTCTGCCGTGACAAGTGGCAGCAGAAAGTTTTTCTTAGGCACTGATAGTGCTCCACATGATCAACGGAAGAAAGAATGTCCGTGTGGGTGTGCTGGTATCTACAATGCTCCTGTGGCATTGTCGGTCTACACAAAGGTTTTTGAGGAGGTTAGGTTTTCTTAAACGAAACCACGTTTTCTACGTATGACCACAGAGCTGCTTTGATGGTTGATTTGTGGCATTATTTTTGTGTCTAGGCTGGCACGCTTGACAAGCTAGAAGCATTTACAAGCTTTAATGGACCTGATTTCTATGGTCTTCCTAGGAACACAAGAAGGATTAAATTGTCTAAAACCCCGTGGAAGGTACCAGAATCATACTCCTACGCTTCAGGGGATATCATTCCTATGTTTGCTGGTGAAACATTGGAGTGGCAACCTTCTTCACCCATATGATGATGTTGTGGGAACTCGTCA